TAGCTGGGATAAATTGAAAATCTTTCATGTCCAAGCACAGAGGGAGACCTTCAAAAAGAAATATTTGCCAGAAAACCCATTTATCAGTCCCCCAATTTCCATCCTTTTTGCTGTCACAGTCAATCATTTTTAAATGCACAGATAAAACATCGAGGCCATCCAGGCACTGTAAGTTATTATCACAACATTTGGGAAGATATATGAGGATTTGAGGGGTTCAGTCAGGAATTTCAGCAGGGAATTGGATGCACAGAGAATACCAAGCTCAATATTTCACCACAGGGGTCTGAAATCGGGGTGTGAACCCTCCATGGAATGGTTTGGGTGGGGAGGGACATTAAAGACCATCCAGTGCCACCCCCTGCCATGGGCAGGGACACCTTCCACTAGCCCAGGTTGCTCCAACCTGGCCTTGGACACTTCCAGGGATCCAGAGGCAGCCACAGCTTCTCTGGGAAACTCATTCCAGGGCCTCCCCACCCTCCCAGCCAGGAATTCCTTCCCAATATCCCATCTAACCCTGCCCTCTCAGTGGGAAGCCATTCCCTGTGTCCTGTCCCTCCCTCCCTTTTCCCCAGTCCCTCTCCAGCTCTCCTGGAGCCCCTTAAGGCCCTGGGAGGGGCTCTAAGGCTCCTCAGAGCCTCCTCTTCTAGAATATTCCATTTTATTCTATCAGCAGGGCAGCACCTGACAGGCACCCACAGTGTTTAAATTCCAGCTAAAAGCAGAGCTGGGGATCCACCAGGGCTCCTAAAATTATCTGGAGGAAAAAGATGCCAAGAAGCCACCTGGAAATTCATCTCTTTCTCCCATGTCTCTCTTTTTTTTTGTTTTTTTTAAATAATTCCTATAAATGTTATTTAACAACACCTCAACATTTTGAACAGTTCCTTTTAACTCAACTCTGCCTCAACATTCCCCCTTGGAAGGGCCAGGGCTTTGAGCTTTGGAGATTAAAGATTTCAGGCAGACCAAGGGGCCACGAGGCCATTCCATTTTTTTCTTTTTTTTCGGGCTATAAAATTCCATTCCGCGTTCGGAGGGGAGGGGAATAAAAAAAAAAAACAAAATAAAAAAAGGGGGAGAAAAAAAAAAAAGAGGGAAAAGAAAGCCCATTTATGCAAAAGCACACACTCACACACCTTTTCTGTGCTCTCACACACACACAACCTTTAAAAAGAAACTTTCCAAGAGTTCCAAGCTGCAGTTAAAACAAAGTGAGTAACGTGAGACTCGGTGCCGGAGCAGAGTGGAAAGAACACGGAGTCCGAGTGACCTCCCACGAGGCCACCCAAAAAAAAAAAAATAAAAATATAGAGCTCCCTGCTTCTGTTGGAGCCCAGAGAGCCACATCATCCCCCTCCAGGGGTGGTGCAAGCCATAAATCACGGATAAATGGCAAATAAATGGAAGCGAAGGGAGGGGGAGCGAGGGGACGAGGAGAAATCCCGAAAGGAAATGACCTTCCCCGGCATGAAGTAGGGGATTGCAAAGGGTTGGAAGGGGAAGGGAGGGTGAGGAGGTGACACATCGGCCCCTGCAGCTCGAGGGGTGGCCGGGGAGGTGACAGGGCACAAGCACGCGGTGAATTTTGGGCAAGGGACGCGGCGAAATCGTTGTTGGCAGGACACGTCCAGGAGAAGGGAAAGAGCGCGGCCACAAAGCTCCAGAGGGAGGGAAAGGAGCCTCAGATCCTCTGGCTGCTCCAAAGGGACACAGCCTCGGGTTGCACGGTCATATTTTCCAGCCAAGAGCAAAGTTCTATTAATTCCTCCAAGCCCTCACTTGCCTCGGGATGTCATCATAGGAAGGGTTTGCAGAGCAGCAACATCCTGTTCCCCAACACTCCCATCACAGCCAGGCCTCTATCCCTTTATTTATAGGGAAAAGGGGAAGGAGGCAGAAGCCAATTACTTCGGTAATTACCTAATTACTCCAAGCACTCCCAGCCCACCCCGTGTCTCCCCTCTGGAACAGCTGCAGCTGAAGCTCCCACCGGTAGCTTGTCCTGTCACAACTCACACAAAGCTCTTCCTCCCACCTCCCAGGGCCAAAATTCCCTGAAACTTCGTTGGTCTAAGGAGCTCAGAGCGATCCCTGCTCCCAGAAATCTCCGGGACAAGGGCTTGCCACGGGGCTGGATGGCTGGAGGAGCCCAAATGGGAGATGATGGGAGGGCTGGGGACAACGTGCCTGCTCCCAGCAGACCCGCTGCCCATCCCAGGCTCCTTCCCACCTGGGATGCCCTTGGGAAGTTTGTCCTGCCCTGTCCTGCCCACCATCCGGTGCAATCAGGAGTTGGGGGGATGTTCTTCACCCCCTGCTGTTCTCCCGTGCCAGAACCAGCAGCCAGGACCAGGACACACACCCCTGGAATGTTTCCCTTTCCCTTCCCTCCTCTGGCTCTTGCTGGGAAGAGGGAAAAGGTCTGGGCACAAACTGGGGATCCTGGAGCTCCCCAAACCCCAGGGATGGAGCTCAGAGCTGGGACACCTCGGGCAGGTTGCTCAGGACACGTGTCCAGGCAGGCTCTGAGCATCTCCAGGGATGCAGATCCTCATCCCTGGACTCTTGGGGATGGGCCTGTGCAGGGCCAGGAGCTGGATGTGACGATCCTTGGGGAATATCCTTCCAGCTCAGCACCTTCTGTGCCCCTGTGACCTCGGTTTGACCATCTCCCCCCCCCAAAATGTTTGTTCTTAAAATTTTTAAGTGGGATTTCCTGGATTTGGGTCCAAATCCACCAGAGAGGATCCACCTTGCTCGTGGAGGTCGATGGATGCCAAAATCCCAACTTTCCCAATTCCCAGGATGGGTCTTGTCCCCCCGAATCCCCCAAACCAGGAGGCCACAAGCCCTTCCAGGGAAGATGCAGATGGATGTGAAACAGGAAAAAAAAATAAAAAAATCTTTGGAGACCCAACTCTTTTTCTTATGGGGGTCTATAAAACAACCACGTGGATTTTTTATTTTGTTTGGTTTTTTTTTTTCTTTTATTTTAAGATCACAAAATACACAACATTCATTTTAATATGCAACACATAATATTATATACATATTAAAAACCACATGACTGAAACACATGTTCACACGGCACCGATTTCATAATGAAAAACCCCACAAGTGCTTTTTTCTTTTTTTTTTTTCTCCCCTTAATATTAAAAACAAATGCGATAAAACATATTAATAGTTTTGTTTTTTTTTCCCCCGGACAACGTTTACAAT